GCCCCCGGGGCCACCCCGTCGCCGCCCGCAGTGCCGGGCGGAGAGCGCGCCCAGGTGAAGAGGGGCCCGGCGGGCGCTCGGCCTGCGCGGCCTCCCGGCGGGAGGCGTTGGGTGCGCTCCCGGAAGGAAGTGCAACCGAGTGGGGGGCCCACGGGCCAGGCGCTCTGGGCACCCACACCGCAGTGTTTGGGGTCTTGATTTAGGGTCACGTTCTTGGAGGAGGCGGGGAGAGACGGGGGCCCTTTTCACTAACCAGCTGGACGGCTCTGCAAATGCTTCTGCTAATGTCGGCGTGGGGTGTGGAGGTAGATTTTTCTAACACCCTCTTTGTGTGATGTAGCTGTCCACAGGGAATCAAAATGTGGCATGAGAGGATGGAACTAATCCTTTCTTTTGCACTGTTAGGGGTTGCCATAAACACCATTTGTTAAAAAGCATAATTATGTTGGGAAAGTGCCTGATGAGACAATTAAGCTACATAAACACCGAAAACAAATGAAAACCAGAAGACGCCCACACCCCTGGTGTAGAGCAATTTTTTTGCTTACGTAGAAACGAGAGAGGTCTGAGCTGCTTCATGACAGCATTATTAATTTCCAGGAAAATCTAATGACCATATCTTTTAAATGAGGTTTTCAATTATGAAGCCGCGGTCACCCGATCTGAAAACTTGCCTGCAAGCCGGAACTCACCTTGAAGTCCTGCCTCTCCCTGTTCGCATGGTCAGGCCAACAAACAGTCGTAGTGAACTGAAGCCAGGGGCTCTGTTCTGAGGGCCCGGAGAATTGCACCGGTGGTCTTTTATTTAGCTCAGCGCCATGACCTCCACTTTTGTCCCACAGTTGGACATGGCTTACTCCTACCCCGGAGAAGGTTCCCTGGCACAAGGTGACCCCTGTCAACTTTTCCTTAAACAATTTCCTGGGATATTCGTTTTTAGTTGTGCGACCTATTTAAAAGAGGCTCCAAATTATGTACACTGGTGCAGATAAGAACTGGAAACACAGGGAATCAGGACAGATGAAGCCCTCAGGACTAGTGGTGAGAGCGGTGATACCTGGAGGGTGGAGGGAGGTGGGGTGGAAAGGGGGAAGCGATGACAAGGATCTACATATAACTTCCTGAGGATGGACAACATAAAAGTGGGTGAAGGGAGTAGATAAGATATGACAAAATCATAATAATTTATAAATAATCAAGGGTTCATAAGGGAGGGGGAGCAGGGTGGGAGCGGAAAATGAGGAACCGATACCAAGGGCTCAAGCAGAAAGCAAATGTTTTGAGAATGATGATGGCAACAAATGTACAGATGTGCTTGACACAATGGATGTATGGATGGATTGTGATAAGAGTTGTATGAGCCCCCAATAAAATTATTTTTTAAAAAGGCTCCAAATCAATGATCTTGAATAATGATCAAAATAATGATCATTATTTTGAGAAACTTTAACTCTTTTAGATTATAATAGCTCTTGAGGTCTGGGAAAACCATGAGTCAAAATATGTCACTCTGAATTATTAAAAAAGAATGTGAAGGTGAGCTTCTAAACTCACGTCAATAAAATAATAGGTCACATATTTGACCTGTTGAGTACTCACTTAAATTAGAGTATGTCAGCTTTCAGTTCTAGGCACAGGATATCAGGTGATGTTAAATGGATGCAGGAATTTAGGGGATCAAAGTATAAGAGAAACTTAGTCAAATCGTCTTTGGAAGCACCTAATTCTGCCCTTTTATTTTTTTTATATACCCCAGGGGTAGGGAACCTTTTTTTCCCAAGGGTCATTTGGATATTTATAACCTTGTTCGCAGGCCATACAAAAGTGTCAACTGAAAATTTTGCCGTATTTGATCAAACCTTTAACTGACTCACTCTGCGTGACGGCTGGCACTGTTTCTCTTTGGTGAGGGATGTGATGTTAGCCAGTATTGATGATTTCAGTACTGCCCTCGGACTTGACCTTCTCCTCCTCAACACACTGTCTGTTTCATCGCCTGGAGATAACTGTTTTGGGCTATAATGTAGCTTTCGTAAGAATTGATTTATTGCATAACATCCCTCATTCCTTTTGCCTGCATTTCCCCAGAAAGTTTCAGTTAAGGAAAGAACCAGGCCTATTTGCTAACTAGTACAGACCCTGGAAAGGGGAGACAAGAAGGAAGGCTGATTATGTTAACATTCCAACGGTCTTTCGTGGAAAAGTGTCGTTTCCATGATAGAATTCGGTGAGGAACTTGCAAACTATGTCTTAGTGTGGTTACTGAGGATTTTATCTTACTGTGTTCTCTAGAAATGAAATAGTGAAGTGCTCATAGTACTACTGTTGAATTTCCAAAAAGTCTCTCTCTCTCTCTCTCTCTCTCTCGCTCTCGCTCTCGCTCTCGCTCTCGCTCTCGCTTTATGGCTAATGGACATGAGAGTACGAGCAAAACTGGAGACTGAAATACAGAATCATGTTTTTCCTATTCCAGAAGAAATCGCCATGCCTCCATCCAGACTGGGTCTCCGTTTGGCTGCTTGTTTACTAAACATTTCAGAAGCCAGAAGGAAATATGTTGTTGAGAACATAGCAAAAGCAGCCCTTCTTGAAGAAAATGGTAGGAACAAGACACAATGGGAATGGCCTTTGCGGTGCTTTGAAAGCAATGCTTGTACTTTGCAGAGTGGCTATACAATGCTTTTCTTGCATTCCCTGCCCCCAGTACACCCCCATAAGCACCCTGCTATGGCTAGCTCAGTTACTCAGCGGTGCCCATATGCTCATTTCCAAATGCCTGCAAACGCCCAGCCGTGCAGAGCTTCCCATTTGTGTGCGAGTCTCTGAGGTGCACATGGTTCATGGCTTGACAGGATCCCGAGGAAGGTGAGTTTACATGGAGGCGTAATGTTTGCCCTCATGGGCCGTTGGATCATTAATCAAATGGGCATAATCATATAGGATCCTTTACACAGCATTGAATAAAAAATAGACTTGCCAAATCCCAACTATTTCCCAAAGCAGTCTTGCCAGCAAAGCCCATGCTGTCATGACTATATACATATATTTTCTACTTGGTTGCCTGTATACATATTTTTAGGCATTTGTAGTTGTGGATGTGCACAAGATCAGTCAGCAATCCAGTGAAGGGAAACTAGAGCCCAAGACTCCTTACACCCTGGGCCCAGGTTTGCTATAAAAGATACTATTCTGTTTTTGTTTTTTAATATCCCTTGTTCAAGTGTTTGTGGGATGGCACACATTTCTGAGATATCTTTTGTGTGTATGTTACACACAACCCTCTCCCCTCATGTGTTTCCACACGCATAATCTTTTAAATAAAGATCTTTAAAAAAAAAAATTAAATCAACAGTTTCGGGACAGAGATGAGCATGTGGTCCCAGCCCTGAAGCCTGGAGACGACCAATCTATTTGAGCGTCTAATTTGTCTCTTCACTGGGCTACTGCTCTTCTAGAAAGGAGGCATTTTCCCCTCGTCCAGTTCTAACTATGTGGGATATGTCTATGAGAATTCCAGATAATTGCCGATCAGGAAACTTCCCGGAAGTCTGTCGGCAGCTGGGCTTTGCATCCTCTTTGCAGGAAGAGCGAGCGTGGGCTCCTCTTTGCCAGAAGCAGTGCACCTAATGGGCTTGGGTTCCCTTCTCTGAGCAAGTGACTGCAGAGACTGGGGGAAGCCGTACACTGATGGATGCCTAGGCCTCCACTCAGTTTTTATCAGCTTCTTAGTGGCAGCCGCTCAAATGGAATTATAGCTATTATACTCCATTACAAATACCAAACAATTTACTTCTTCTGAGATTCACACTGACAGCTCCTCCTGCTAGCAGTCATTTGTACCTCCCTATATGCGTGCTTAAGAAATTGCAGGCAAGAGTGCTCCATTCTTTCAGCATTTGATTCAATCGAATCACATGAGCCTGAGAATAAAAACACTTCAGAGGAAGATTTAGGATGAAAAAAAAAAAGACAACCTCCCCACTCCAACACCCCTTGCCCCCACAACAACAACAGCAAAAATCCCACCTCACATTATATCTCTTTTCTTTTAGGAGCTAAAGAATGTTGAAAATGACATGAAATTACAGGTTGTGTGATCTTGTTCTGTTTCATTTTAATCGTTCTAAAAAATAAGAGGGAGGGAGTGCTGGTGAAGAAAATGAATGTGTTGTTTTTACACGTATTTGAAAGACATTTATCTTTGAGTGGGGGGACCAACACAAAGTGAACAATGTATATGTTTTCTCATTCAGCAATGTAAGACCATTCGAACGGTCTCCATGGGGCTTAGGTAAGGACCCTGCATTACAAAACGTAGACCATCGCTAGGGCCGTGCTCTGGAGATGCTTGTTTGGCTCGGAGTGAGTGACATATGTTTATCTTCTCACATGATTAAAATTAATTGTGTAGGCGGTTGTGAGCCTGTGGTTCCCGAGTGTAACACATTCTTCCTTCCCTCTGAAAAGATGATTGTGACGCTGCCAGGGGACAGGAGACCAGGTCTAATAGAGAAACTAAAGGTTTCATTAGTGTCTGAAGACTTTTGTCCTAGACTTTGAATTTGCTTTTGTAGGGGAACTTTAAGGAACTCGAATCAGGCTTGTAAACATCAGAAATAACTTTGGGGTCGTGTGTGGCGGCCCTACAGGGTGTGGAGGTTACACATTTTAGGGAGTCACAAGCCACGCCCACCTGGAAGTCGTTAACGTCTAGATTCTAGACCAGTGGTTCTCAAGCTTCCTGATGCCGTGACCCTTTCATACAGTTCCTCTTGTTGTGGTGACACCCCAACCATAAAATGATTTTCGTTGCTACTTCATAGTTGTCATCTTGCTACTGTTATGAATTGGGCGACCCCTGTGAAAGGGTCGTTCGACGCCCCTGTTCTAGAGGGTGATGGTGGCCTTTGAAAAGGCAATTCCAAACTTGCATGGACGGGTGGGTGAATCCCAGAAACCTCGTCTGTAGGTACTAATTGGCCTAAACTGGTGCTTCTCAGGAGAAGCTCTGCTGGCACTGTCAGTTGGTTGTTGGGCTGCTAATCGCAAGGTCAGCGGTTCAAATCTACCACAGGAAAAAGAGGAGGTTGTCTGCTCCCTTCAAGGTTTGCAGCCTCATAAACCGTATATGGTCACTGTGAGTCGGAATGGACTCTGCCGGCGACTATTTCGTCCCTTTTCTGTCTGTGTGTTCTTCCTGATGTCAGATTTTGATCTCCACCATCACCACGTGATTTGATTCTGACTCACAGCAATCCGTGTGGGTCAAGAGTAGAGGGGTGTTTCAAAGTGCCTGGAGTTTTTTTTCCCCCAGAAGTAGATTGCCAGACCTCTCTTCTTAGGCACCTCTGGGTGAACTTGAACCCCCAACTTTTCAGTTAGCAATTGGATACCTTACCCCATCCAGGGAATCTGATTTTGACCCGGACATTTTGATCTCTGGGTCTGGAAAGGGGAAAAGGACAGGATCTAGGAGATGAGGTGACTATGGAATGGAATTTAGAGTGATATGATTTGCTAATTGACAAAAGGCCACCATCTCAGACTGACTTAAGGGCACTTTGGCAACTTCATTTGGCAAACTCAGTGTGAAGTCCAGGAGAATGTGTCTGCTGGAGACGGGAAGGCTAGTTAGGGTCTGAGCTAGTTAGGGTCTGAGCTAGTTAGGGTCTGAGCTAGTTAGGGTCTGAGCTAGTTAGGGTCTGAGCTCACAGAGGAAGGCGTCCTAAGAAATGGACCTGCTCAGCCAGTGTTACTGCAAAGCTCACATTCTCGAGTTTAAAAAAAATTAATTATGCAAGAAGGAATTAAGAGTTCATTATGTGATTTTTTTCTCTACAGGGCAGAACCATCCTGAAGTATCAGTGCTCAACATATTTTCAGATCAAGATTATAACAGATCAGTCATTACCATAGCAGCATCTATTGATATATTGGGTAAGATTGTGATTTCTATCTATATGTCTATTTTGATGAAGGTTAGGCTTTAGGTACATTTGAGGGGGTACCAAAAAAAAAACCTGGAATTTTTTTCAAAGATATGTATTTAAATTTTTTTATAAAACAATCTTATCACCTTCAAAGCTCTCTCTATAATACTTAATACATTTGTCAAATCTGCGATTCCATTCTTGGAAATATTTTTCAAACTCACCTGTTTGGATGGCTGACAGCACTTCCCTCGGTTTTTTTTCTTCACCTCCTTTTTCAAATCACTGCCCTTTCATGACCCTCTTTATTCTCAGAAACAAAAAGAAGCCACATGGAGTGAGATCAGGTGAGGACAGACAGGTGCGTGGGGCAAGAGAGATACCATATATACTCGCGTATAAGCCTTGTTTACAGCACATTTTAAATGCAGTTTTTGTGGTAAAATTAGGTGCCATGGCTGTTATTCAGGTTGGCTTATACTCCAGTACGTACAGTATCCTATTTTCCCCCCCCAAACTGGCGCACTGAGATGGCTGCATGAGTAGGTGCATTGTCGTGGGTGGTGGTAAAACCAGTCCCCCCCGCACACACACCCTGCCCCGTCTGCCACAAATCAGGTCATTTTTATTGCACACTGTTACACAATCTTTTCTGAACCTCTAAATAGAAAGCTTGATTAAGAGTGTGACCTGGTGGAACGAGCTCCAAATGCACCACAAGTTGACATTTTCATCTGTCTCTGAGCAGGAAACAAAATTTCACAGCCACAAGTTCTCTTAAATTGGCCATCACAAAAAATGAGGTTCAAGCAAAACGGCTTTATAAAAAAATTCACTGTTACCAGAGAGAACCTTCCCAGGCAACACCACTGGATGCACTAACTCAGAGCAAGTTGCTCAATGCTCACCTAGTAGGAAAAATGCATACTATGAAATCGCCTCTCTGCCCAGCACAATTCCGTTTTTTTTTTTTGGGGGGGTACCCCCTTGAATGACTGCTCTTTAATTATTGAATTTCTATGTAAACCGAATCCTTCCTTCCATGCTGGAAAAAACAAACCAGCAGATACTGTTGAGTTGATTTCAACTCACAGTGACCCAGTGTGTGTCAGAGTAGAACTGTGTTCCCAGGGCTCTCGTGGCTGATGACAATTTTCAGAAGTAGATCACCAGGCCTTTATTCTGAGGCACCTCTGGATATTCTTGAACCTCCAACCTTGCAGCTGTTTGCACCATCACCATTTAAGTAGAGGCTTCTATTTCATCTTTATCCTGCCCATGTACATTTCACACGTTTCTTGTTTCCTCTTTATTTTAAAAGGAGCAGAGTTAATATGATACTTTTGCAGAGGATGATCATCTAGATGAGGGGACTTGAAAAAAGTTCATGGAAAATTGAGTCAAAAGATGGATATGAAAAATATAAGTGTTATTTCTTGACATAAGTTTCATTAAGATCAAGATACTATTGTAAGTGATGATACAACCATTTAGTCTCTCTAAAGAGCTGAGGGTTGGGGGACTGAACCAAGGCAATGCAGTCGTTTTTCCATTATTAACTAAAGGAAAATGGTTGCCCTTCAAAGATTTTCGAGGTTAGGAAACAAAAAATCAGAAGGAGCCAATTGAGGACTATCGGATAGCTGAGTAGTCAGATCTCATTGAAAAGCTCACAAAAATGCCTTCACTTGATGAGCTGAATGGGTTGGAGCGTTGTCTTGTGGAAAACTCTCAGGTGATGTTTTCCTGATAAAGTTTTGACTAATTTTCTCAAAGCGCTCTTAGAATGAGAAAATAATATCACTCTTTGCCCCCATACAGAGTTAGCAAGCAAAGTCCCTAAGCAGCCCTGCCCCCCTGAAACTGTTGCCATGACCTTTGCTCTTGGCTAGTCCATTTTGCAAACTAGTCCTCTTGTTTTGCTTGGCCCTCTTCCACTTCTTGGTGGCCGTCTCTTCGATTGTGCTTTGTTTTCAGGATTGTACTGGTAAAGCCACGTTTCACCTCTTGTTACAGTTCTTCAAAGAAATGCTTCAGGATCTTGATCTCCCTTGTTCACCGTGTCCATTGGCAGATCTGCTCTTGTCTGCAGCTTACCTGGGCACACCAGTTTTAGTACTCTTTTCAGCCGGAAGTGTGCTCTACTTAAATTTTTCAGTCAGAATAATTATGTAAGTCAAGCAATTAAGGTGTTGATCTTGTGTCTACTGTTAGTCGACAGGCCTCTTCCATTAGGGCATGAACAAGATGAATTATTTCCTTAAAAATCGGTAAGGATGGTCTGCTGCTGTCGGCTTCAGCTTCCACATTGTCTCGTCTCTTCTTCAGTTGGTTACTTGTGGACCCCTGATTTCGGTGGCATCGTCTCTATGCCTTTTTTATGAAGCATCAATTATTTCACCATTCTGCCATCCAAGCTTTACCATAATTTTGATGTTTACTCTTGCTTCAATTTGAGCAGACTTCTTGTTGCTCTGATAAGGACTCATTTCAAACTGATGTCTTGTGCTACTTAGTGCTTTAAACTAGATACTCTTCTTACAGGGCAAAACAAATGTGTATGAATTATTTTGGAGCAAAAAGGAAAAAAAATTCGGGTAGTTTTTTCTTAATATGCATTTTCCATGAACTTTTAAAAGGTTCCTCATCTTTTCAGTGGGGAAAAAGGCATCCTCAAGTGTTAATTTTTAAAGCAATAAAAGCAATTAGATTCAGTCTTAATTTAATTTCTAAATTGCCATGGAAACAGACCGGGAGGATGACTGTGCTTTGGGTCAGAGCTCCAAATCTTGAGCTGGTGGCAGGGGATGGGCTACATGTGTCACGGTGGGGGTGGGGTGGGTTTTTTAAGGTTTAGTAGGATGGCTTGAACTAGAAGAATTATAATTGCTTAAAAGAAAGACAAGTATCATTTTAGTATTGCTTAGTAAAGGATTTTAAATAATTTCAAGTAAATTTTATTTTCACATAGTGTATTAACTTCTCTGAAAAGGTGTATTTGCTTTGAAAGTGCAGCTCGGGCTAAAAACGCCCAGCAAGCACAGACAGATTATTTTGAATGTGAAGTGTAAAATAAGACAAACACCTTTGTCGTTGTTACGGTTAAGCTCTGTTGCCTAAATCACATCTCACTGCACTGCCGCTGAAAACTCGGGATAGTACTATAAACTCTTAGATGTTTATAATATTCAAATGCTTGTGTAGATCTGAATAAATAACTCAAGGGAAAATCTAATTGCTGAACAAGAGTAAAACCAAAATAAATATTTACACTTTTAAAATTCATGTTGGGTGGGTATTTTAATTCAGTACCTAATAAAATATTTTGAAAGTAATAATGGTTTTTATCAGATTACCTCGATAAATTCAAAGTGACTTGTCTAAGAAACACAAAGTTGTTAAGGACTGATAAACATTGCATAACTCCATTTTGGGAATCAAAATCTGGAAGAAATTTGGCATTTTATGACACTCGGGAAAGTGTGGTTGATTCTTTTTATTTGTCATCATTTCGAATGAGAAAAAAAATCTTATATACAGATTATAATCATAGCTCCGATTTAGGTGCAATTGAAAGTTTACTGATTAACTTTGTACAATGTTACATTTTTAAGGAAGTTCTGTTCTTGCTGCCTGTGGGGAAGCCTTCCGGTCTATCAACATGGGGGCCCAAGATGGGATCCATCCTTGCCTCGGAGCAGTGGACCTGATTCCAATTTACCCTCTCTCTGGGATCGGAGTGGAAGAGTGTGGCTCTGTGGCCAGAAGTAAGAGAAAGCTTGGGCTTGTGTGTTATTCCTTAATGTAAACCACTTTTACAAATCAGAACAGCTCGTGACAATATAATCACTCCTCGACTCCCTGGGAAAAGTGGACCTTGAAGAATTTTATCAACAGTAAGCTTTTACGGGTGGCAGTGGCACACTGTGTCCTTATAACTCATCCTTCCGCTTTCTACCCCACAGCATCATGTAACATGAAATGCTGAGGGACGTGGCAAAAAACCCTCCCCAGATCAAGGATTTGGTCCCTGACAAGTTAACAGTAGACACGAGGAAGCAGCAGTGTTTTCTAATGAGATCCTCAGTCTTGTAGGGCAGAACCCTGGTGTGCTTTGCCCATCTGCATTCCATTTTCTTGAGCAGGGGTAATGAGGAGGTTGAAAAACCACTTAAATGTTAACTCCTACCCTTTTCCTCTGATTCTCCCCCTCCCCCCGCCTTTTCTTCCTTATGTACAACTTTCTCTAAGATTTTCTGGAGAGCCAAACTGTCACATGCTTGACTTCAGCCCCAGGGGTAAATTTAATTTGGAAAATTTGAGTTCTGTCACTTGAGGTGTTTTTGAATGAGGCCACTTGGGAGACAAGAAAGACCTCTTGCGTGGACTGTCTCACGGGCGGCGTGGTTAATGACGCTCCACAGAGGCGCTGCCCTTCAGGGGGAACTGTCTGCTGTAGGATAATTGCATTCTTCTCTGGATGACCTCAGAAATCCCTGGGTTGTTGCCTCACTTCTATTTCATAATGAATTGTCTACCATTTGGGATGTGGATCTGGACGTTTGCTGAGCTACACCAAGCACGAGCAATAGGAAATGAGACTCACTTCCCAAGGAATACTCATGGCTTGTGCTGCGTTTTAATGTGACCTGACAGTTGGAGGGTTGTTTCCCAGGCGAATCTTGGCCTCTGATTCACTTCCCTTTGCTGCACCGAAGAGTTAAAATTTAGCCTGGGAGAAACTCTGTTTCACACAAAAATGAAGAGTTCAGAGTGGTCCAGACCAGAATAATGATTTGAATTGTCTTCAAAACAATTATGGACAATTACATTAAATCTCAAATTAGCTAGTACATGGAGTTCTTCATTACATCAGGACACGTCTAGCCCAGATGTTCGCCCTTGTGTAGAAGACAGTTGGGAGTCAGGGGCTCTGGACCCAGTCCGTCTCCCTTCCCGTGCCCTTTTGCTTCATTGGCAGCTACTGTACCTCCTGATTTAAACATGGACATTTCTAATTAAATGAGAGCTCAGCTGCATTCTTGAACTAATTTATAACATTTGATTTGAAATGTAATAGCTTCAATCTTCATCTGATTAAAAACAGTCATATACTGTACATGGTTACTATTTTGATGCTCCAACATGCAGTTTTTATTTTTACATTCCCCTTTCTACACAGCTGTTCATCTAATATCATCCAATTTTTTTAAGTTTTTTTTTTTTTTTGTAACAGCATGCTCAGACATTCTTCTGAGGCACAACTATTCAGATCCGAGGGCCCCGCTGGGCTCAGAAGAGGACAGGGAAGTTTTCACTAGGACAAACCCTTCCCAAGGAAGGCAACTTCGATACAAAATGCCAGTAACTTTCTAGAAGGAGCAATAGAGGACATTCTGGTGACATGAAAGATAGATTACTATTGATTTATAAATGTGGGGAAATTCCATTATCTTTTATTTCCATTTGTCCACACACTTTCTTATTTTAAAACGTTTTATTGTAAGTGAGGTGAAGTTTTACAGAGCAGATCATAGTTTTACATTCAACAATTCATCCACATTCTGATTCAACTCAGTCATTGAAATCGCCCCCCCACCCCGTAACTTTGTGAAGCCCCCTTGTGTGTTCATGTATGTAAAATTTCTGAATGGTATTTTTGGTATCAGCTATAAGCTTGCTTATGCCTGAAGGGGCCAAAGCAAAAGCAAATGAACTACCACTGAGTCAATTCCGACTCAAAGCAACCCAATAGGGCGGAGCAGAACTGGCCGTGTGGATTTCCAAGACTGTAAGTCTTTCTGGAAATAGACAGCCTCATCTTTCTCCTCCCGAGGGGCTAGTGGTTTCAAGCTCTGGATTTAGGTGCAACTAGAAAAGGTAATGATTGCTTTTACAGTGTTACAGTTTTAAAGCAGTTCTGTTCTTGCTGCCTGTGCAGAAGCCTTCCAGTCTATCAGCATGGACGTCCAAGAGGGAATCCAGCCTTGCCTTGGAGCCGTGGACCTGATTCCAGTTGGCCCGTCTTCTAGGATAGGCGTGGAAGAAATACTTCCTACCTGGAGGAGGGGGTTCTTAAACTGAACTCCATCATTGGTGTTTAGGGGACACATAAATATTAAGAAAATGATTTATAGGCTTATATGCACGTGTTTGTACACATGTGCATGCACACACACACATACACACACACAGAGGGAGACACAATTTTGTGTAGTATTTTCTTTTAGGAACTCCTGGAGTAGATAAAGGGAACAGCAGTGCACAGGACCAGAGGGGAGAGCAGCCAGAGCCTGAGGCTCTGCAAAGGCTTTGGTGAGGCTGGCAGAACACAGATATAGGCTGGAGTGATGTGGGAAAAGTGTTCCTGCGAATGATGAGGAATGCAGCTCTAGAGGTAACCAGGGCCAGCTTCTGAAGGTTTATACACCAGATTAAAGACTTTGAAGTCTGTCCTAAAGGCAGTGGGGAGACATTGAGGAGTTTACAGCAGACAGTGGTACGATTGGACTTGAATTTTGGAAGGATCATTCTGGCCACATGAGAAAGATGGATGAAAGGCAGGCAGGAAAGGTGATGGTGGCTGCATTAGTTACCCAGGGCTCCCGAAAACTGGGTGCCTTATAACAGTAAAATTTAGGATCTCCCAGATCTGGAGAGTCGAAGTCCTTGAATCCAGGTGTCCGCAGGGCCTTACTCTCTCTGAAGGCTTTAGGAGAAGATCCTCCCCTGCCTCCTTCCAGCTTCCGGTGGTTCCCGACATTCCTTGGCTTATTGATCTGTCACGTAAACTGACGCTTTCCTCTTCAGCCGACCGGTGTCTGTGTCTCTTCTGTTTGCATAGGATGCCTCGTCTAGGAGGTTAGGAGCCACTCTTCCCTTCCAAGAGCCTATTGACAAACATTTATACTCTTCGGTTTCACACTTCTTACCTTTGGGGGAGATGTAATTTAATTTGTATCAGTGACCTGGAGACATTGGAGATATTTGATAGGATGTTTGGGGTCTGCGGGACAAAGTACTGAGAGGGACAATAGGAAGAAAGGAGACCTTTGGAAAGAGCCTGACTGCACTTTATGTTGTTGCCATGCGGATATACAGTCAGCACTTGGGACAGAGAGCGAGCTGAGCTATATACTGAAAGAAGACGTCTGAGCTGCACTTTTGTGTTTCAGTATACCGATGCAGCATTGGAAGTGCTTGTTAGTCTTGGCCAAGAAATTTGGTAGAAAACTACCTGACCAACCAATTGGAAGAGATCCACATGTATGTCCATTCCCAGAAAGGCTACCCAATTGAGTGTGGAAATTATCTAAAAATATCATCATTATTACTTTAACATAAAATTCCATTGAAAATAATTTAAAGACAGTTACAGCCAGACATTCAAGTGAGATTCTGAGAGGACATGGAATGAGTGATATTATTGTTGACATCAGATAGATCGTGGCTGAGAGCAGAGGGTACCAGAAAGATGCTTACTTGTGATTCATTGACTATGCAAAGGCATCCAACTCTGTGGATTACAGCATTCTTTGGATAAATGGAAATGTCAGAACTTTTAATTGTGCTCTTGATAAACCTGTACACAAACCAAGAGATAGTCATCATTCACACAGAACAAAGTTCGCATCAGGAAAAATGTGGGCGGGGGTTGTGATCTTTCATCATGCTTATTCAATGTGTATGCTGAGCAAGGGAATGTAGAAGCTGGACTAAATGAAGACGAACATGGAATTAGGATCGGAGAAATGCCCATGAACAGCCTGGAACATGCGGATGACACAAACTTGCTTGCTGAAAGCCAGGAAGACTTAGGGTACTTGGTAGTGAAGATCAAAGTATGGGTTACAAATCAGTGTGAAGAAAACAAAAATCCTCATAATTGCACTCAGAAACAGAATCATGATAAATAGAGAAAAGACTGATGTCAAGAAATCAACGCATCGCATGGGGCAAGTGTGTTGCACAAGATCGTTTGCAAGAGTTGAAGATCAAATTGTCACTGGGAAAGCTAAGGCGCTCCTGATCCAGGCCACGGCATTTTCAGATGCATCAGATGTGCGTGAAAGCTGGAGAGTCATTGATGGTTGCATGATGGTGTTGCTGATGGATAGTGACTATACTGTGGACTGCCAGAGGAACAAGCAAACCTGACTTGGCGGGAAGTCCCACCAGAATGCTCCTTGAAAGTGAGGGTGGGCACAGACCTAGGTACAGCTGTGACGATGGTGCCATCAAGACCATGTCTCTTTCCATTGGGCACAGTGTCACTATGGGTTGGAACTGACTCAAGGGAACCTAACAACAAAATATATATTTTAATTTTTTGTTTTCCATTTCATACAAAAACTCACATTTAATCTACGAGGCCACATCTCATTTCCCCCCCTCTGTTATGTCTATACTTTTTCCCTCTCCTTCCCTTGATTCCTTCCATTTTCCTCTTCTCACTTCACCCTCCATATCCGTCCTCTTTATTTTGCTTTATTAAAGTGATTTATGTGTGTGGGTAAAATAATAAGGTTTGTTTCATAAAATCAATTACCTACAGAATTCCTCCACCCTCCTTTCACCATATTTATGCTTCCATGTATTTCTTCCCAGAGCCAAGCACTTTTCTACTTTGTTTCTTAGGCTCTGGCTCCTAGCTCCTTATAGCTAAGCATCAAGCTTATATTGGTACTTCTAAAAGTGTTCATTTTAGGAATTATCTAGCTTCTTCTCACTGCAGAAAGTGAGTTTCTCCTTCTGTTACCCATATCTC